GAAGATTATATTAGAGTGCTATTTTATAGCTCTTATATCTAGATCCTAGAAGAGCTATAACTTAGAGGTTCCCTTAATATATCTAATAAATATAGCATCCTTACCTCTATTTATAAGTTTATCTAATCTTGCCTATTATAGCTAAGATCTTAGATCTATATATATAATAACTTAATAACCTTATACTCTAAGATAGTATATTAAAGGTTTTACTCTACTAAATACTTCCTTAAGTAAAAGAGGAAAGTCTTCTATAACTAGTCTATTTAGGAGTCTATTTCTAATTTTATATTAGGTAGAAAGTGCTTTTAGCTAGAAATTAATTAGTATTCTAGACTTTTTAATTATTACCTTAATTATATCTTCCAAAGTTTAGATAGATCTTTCTATAACCCTATTCTAAAGAGAGTTATATAAATTAGTTAGGTCTAGGTAGATTCCTAAGTCCTTTTCTTACTACTTTAGTAAGCTAGTTAGTTTAGGTGTATTATGTTAGAAAGTGCAGTTATAGAATAGCTGTACATCTAATATAACAGAGAGCTAAGTAGCTACAAGGTTATATAACTCTATATAGGGTAAAATCTCTTCTTAGGAGATAGAGACACATCTCTAGATAATTAACAAAATTAATATATTAGTTCCTACTTTTAAGTACTGCCTGTCGGAGATAGTAAGCTAGTTAAAGATTAAGATACTCTTTTACTCCACCCCTAAAAATCTGCGAACCTCCGACTAATATTTAACAATAGTATAACTAACTATACCGCGATTAAGAGCCGACCTCGAAGAGTATCGCTAATAGATCGAATACTACATTCTTAGGGGTAGTAGCTATTCGGATATCTATCGTATATTGTTCGATAACTATAGAGTATCGATTGTAATATATACGCTATAGCGACGGCTAAGGGACTAGGCCGTTCGTGCGTAGCCGTTTAACGTTAAGGATACTACGTTCCTTCGAGAGCGTATTAGCTACGCCTTTTACGTCCTCTAGCTAACGGATAATAAAACCGTAAGGATATTTAATAGGGATAGAGTAAGGATTAGTATACTACGGCTAGCGGTTATACGTAAGAAGATAGGGCTATATAAGCGAGTTCCGCTTAAAAGGAGGGAGGAGTCTAAGTAATAGATACGAGCGATCCTTTAATATAAACTAGATTACGGAACGATCGAAGAGTATAGTCGACAAATACTCTACGAGTATATACGAACATAGTATAACTATATTAGCCGTAACCGGTTATATAAGGTCCTTATCGAGCTTAACTTAGAGGGCGTAGAGTAACGGCGAAAGCGTACTCGATAGTATACTAGACTTCCTCTAACGAACGGTATAAATTACGCTTAGTCGATAGATACGTACNTACTACCTGTCGGAGATAGTAAGCTAGTTAAAGATTAAGATACTCTTTTACTCCACCCCTAAAAATCTGCGAACCTCCGACTAATATTTAACAGGATCCTAGCTTTCCTATAGGGGTCTTTATAGTAAGCTTCCTTTAGATTAACTTCTATAATTCTTTTAGCTATCTAACTAATTTTACTCTAGGCTAATCTAATTAAATTATTATCTATTATTCTAAAATTAATAAGTTCCTAAACTATAACTATTATATAAGTAGTTAGAACCTTACTATACTTTAAAAGTAGAAAGATCTATATCTTAGTAGTATAGGGTAAAGCTAAATTAGCTTAGAGCTTATTTATATTATTTAAATTAATCCTTAATCTTAGTTTATATCTGCATTTTATATTACTCTTACTAAAGTTTAAATTTTATACTATAATTCCTAGCTAGTCTTTCTTTAGCTATATAGTAATCTTTCCTTTATTAACTATTATTATTAACTTAATAGTATTAAAGACATCTTTTCTTTCTAGATTATCTTTCTAGAGATTAAACTATCTCTTCTAGTTCTCCCTTCCTAGAATTAAAATCCTAGCTTAGGAGGTTATATTCTTATTATCCTCTATCTTTATAAAATAAAAAAATTTCTTTTATTTAGCTTAGTCCTACTAAGGCTTTTAGTAGTAGGGGAGAAGAAGGTATATTAGTATAGGCTTTAATAAATAGGCCTTAACTATTTTATAGCTTTAGACCCTTATTCTTTTAGATTTTCTTCCTAGCTTATCTATATACTAATCCTTAGTATCTCTTATAAGGTAGTATAGGAGGATCTAAAATCCTCTTTTCCCTTTTTTATATACTAGTATAAGGTAGGGAATATCTTTACTACTTTAAGGTTAAAGTTCTTTCCTTTAGTTTAGCAAAATCTAGGCTTATAACCTATTAAAATTATCTAACTAAAAATCCAAAACTAGAGGCTAGGGAGGTAGTAGGATATAGTAGTAAAGGGTAAGATAAGAGACTCTAATCTTAAACTAATTTATTATAAGGTATATAGTACTTAAAGTAGGAACTAAACAAGTATATTAATTAAATTAATTATCTTAAGAACTAAATATTAAGAATAAGTATATACCTTTAGCCTTAGCATCCTAATTACCTAACTAGGGAATYACCTTAGAGTAGATTCTACWCTAAGCTCTCTTCCCTTTCTAAACCTATTAGGTTTTAACATCTATTAAATTAAATCCTTTAGTTCTAAACTTTTTAATATTATATTCTACTTTATATATAAACTAGTAATTAGATTAAAATAAACTATAGCTAAATTTTCTAATAGTATTTTTTAAAATATCTAATATATTTTACTACTTAGTTAATATATAATAAAAAAATCTATAAGGAAAGATTAAAGAAAGGAGTAATATAGCTTAAAGATATATTTAAGATCTAGGCTAATATTAAATATTAAGTAGCTTAGATTAAAGCTCTTTTTAAGATTATTAAAATCTAATCTTAGAAATATATAATAACCTACTAAATTTCGAAGGATAGCTAGTATAGAAAGTAAAAGATCTAGAGTAATTAATAGAATGAACGGAGCTAATAGTATACGATAAGTAGTTAGAATAAGTCGCGGCCGTATACGCCTAGCGCGCCGGTTGTATAGGCTATCGCACGCACGCTAACATCATTCGCGAAGTAATCCCCGAAACACCCACCCTCCGCATCCTATCCTATCGCCGTCGACCAGCGCCGCCCTCACCTACTCTTACGATATTATTACGAATTCAGTAGTCCTGTCGAATCAGCATGTCAGACGATGGTAGCGAMAGTAATAGTGACCGCGATCCCGAAACTGGACTGTTACCGCTTTGGCAGGTCGCGCCCGACCTAGCCAGAATCACCTACTCGCACGATGCAACGGTCGCGGCAATCAGGCAATTCTACAAATTTTTAGAATCGATGTACGTATAAGTGTAAAACGAGGTGTAGAGCGTGCCTTACCAAGACCCAAACCTGTCGTACGCTAATTCTCGTTCTTGTTGTTGTTCTTTAGGTACATATCCTCAGACGACATTGTATGGCCGCCAGAGAGCGGATGGCCAGACATGGACGCCGTTCGTGAGCTCGAAAAATCAGATGAAGTCATCAATTTACTTCGCCATATCCCATACGTTCGACCTTCCCMTGTCGACCGCGAAGTTCAAGGTATGTGGTTCGCTCCCAACAAATCTAGGTCACATAATTCTTCACTGACAAGCACTTTGTACTATAGTAGCATCAGGCTGTGAGYTTGAAGACTGGGCCCTACGAGCCCGCGATATCGCCGAGCTCCCTGATCCTCTCTCTTCAGAACAAAAGGACTCCTTCCTGCGCGTGACACAACACATTTGGCACCACATTCCGGCCCATGTCGTCGGACTTTTAAAAACCCCAGATTTCCAAATGCTCCTCGACACTAAGCTCGGGGTTGTTTATTACACCGGGCCTCATGCTGGTCCAGGCCCAGTACACGAAGCCTCTACTACGAACCACCTCTTCCCCGTCATAACGGCTGAAGTATGGGATTATGCTATAAAGGAAGAAGAAGAATGGCGTGGTGGTATAGGCCGTTGTGCATGGGAAATTACCGACTTCTTTAGAATGCTGGAGCATCACTTTCGGGAATTCAATTACGTCCCATATGGACTACGGAGAGACTGGGAGGTTCTGGAGGACTTCGACGGAGAGCAGGAATGTCCAGACTGGGACCCGGGTGTACTCTTCCCACGGATCCAAGATGTTTTTCGCGAACACGGATGGCCCGATCTAGAGAAATATCGCAAGGAGGAGTGCATTGAGGCTGTGAAGAGTCTTGTGGAGGAGCATGAGGAGCGAAGGTGAAGAGCGTTGACGAAGTCTCATACATTGGAGGCGAAGTTCGGGAAATGGGGATTGCCGTCACCGCCTTTCTTTCCGCTTCCTTTCTCGATGTTCTTCGGCTTCGGGAAACTGCTAAAACCCTCTGCGATCTGGTCCATGATTTCAAAGACTTTGTTCTTGCCTCGTTCGGGACGAGACCGTCTGGCTCACATGGACTAGGCCACCAGCTGAACGCGCTTTCCGGATCCTCGCCTTTATCCTAGACGTATTTGACCGTGTCGACGGCAGATGAGCATCGTGTCTGTATGCGAGGATCAGCAACTACGATATGTGGATCTTTCGACGCTGCTCTAGTGCGCAGAAAATCTCTTTGCACGCCTCTCCGCCAATAAGAGACTCGGTGTCGCGTAATGGAGCATCGAGCTTCGTCTCCATGGGTATCTTTCTCCCTCTCTCGCTCACAAAGGCCATGCCGCTCCGTGGGACATGTGGGTTTCAAGCAGCGGGGTCCAGATCGAAGGATTGGAGATGGAGCGGCGAAGTCATTACTAGACCAGCCCTATTGGGTGATGTGGACACAGTGAACTCGCCCGCAAAGGGCGCTAAGCGCGAGTTTAAGCCCGAATCACACTACGGTAGCCGCGCCGCCTTGGCACGCCAAACTAAGCTTCGTTTGCCTAGTGCCAGGTGCAAAAAGGGGCTTTCCTCGCATGATCCCGTTGATATGGCTCCTCGAAAGACGGTCCCATTCGCTCCATGCCAGCGTACCTCGCATAGCCGCTGGGGAAGCCGTTCCGCGCAGCATACGAAAGGATATGCGAGCTTAAAAAGCGCCAAAAGATCAGCTAGGGCTCCCGGAGGCCAACCCAATTGCAAGTTTCTGAAAGTCGGAAAGCTTGACTGCTAGCGATCATGAAATAGAGGAATGTACGCTCTCGAGTCTCGACGCATCGAAGGAAGGCCCGACCAGGTCATCTCCGCATGATAGTCTCCATTCGCATAGTTGCGATTTTTGTCAAATTCAACCCGTCGTCCTCCAGAACTGGAAGTCTCCTCGGATGCGTGGAGAGCTGAAGAAATATTGAAGACAACAACACCGAAGAGCAGACACTGTTTCCCACACTAACAACTTCCGTGGCTCGTCGGCTCCTGGACGAGCCTCCCATTTTTCCCGGACAGCTTGCAAATCTGCTCGCACGTCGACAAGCTATCAAGCGTATCATCAGAGAACCAAGATGATAGCGCCAGCAGCAATGCAGGTACCCGCAGCCGACCAGAACGCCGCATTTTCAGCCCGCTTAACTCCCGCACTGTCCACATCTGGAGTCTGCGTCGGTGTAGATCCACTGCTTCCCGAAGCAGAACTCGACAAAGTGCTGGTCTGTAGAGGTCCACTGATTCCCGAAGTAGAACTCGTCAAAGTGCTGGTCTGTACAGGTCCACTGGAAGTCGCGTGTGCTTCCGCATAGCACTCAGCCTCGATTATAGTCAGATTCAATTTGGTCGCACCGAATGACACACGGTCTCTAGCGAGCCACCATGATTGAGGACATTCTTCAGCGATTGAAACGGCCGCGGAGCTGCGGGCGCCCCACCAAGAGGCTGCTGTACTGCCGTAGGATTCGTATTGGTCCAGGAGAGTTGAGGGAATCGCGGTGGAAAATCCGCACCATAAGGATTTCTCGGGAAAGGGACAGAGAGCACCGCCTGTATAGGTACAGGGTTGGATTTCGTCGCCGTAGGAAAGGCGGGCGGAGTAGAGGGCTCCTGTTGGGTATGGAGGTTCGAAGTAGCCGACAATGTCTTTGGTTGCGCAGCGCCAGTTGTCGGCTTGGGTGACCGTTGGTGATTCGGAAGGTAGGACTGTCAGATGCACTCCTGACTGCTGGGCAAATGCGAATGCCAGGAACGGGAGTCCAAGGAGTGGTTGCATGTTTGCTGGTCGAAGGAGAGTGAGTTGTGTTGTCTCGGTCAAGATGAGACGAAGAGAAACATGCCAGATGCAGGATGAGGGTACGGAGGGATTGTGCGGCTGTAACGCACCCGCGAATGATTGTAATGACTACGAGCGCTCCACAGCTGGCGCGATGTAACCCTTTGAATGGTTTGTATTACTGACAATAAGTCCCAAGTGAAAAGTACAAGCGCCCTTACAGTTTGGCAGTTGTATGCTTTGGCTCAGTTAGTGCGTTTGAGCCTGCCTAAAAGCGCGCAGCACGGGCAGACTATCGATTCAAGCGCCAAAAGTTTGCGCTATGCATGTGATGAACGGCTAGAGCCTTGGCGAGAGGCCTTGGCTGAGAGATTTGGACTAAACTCGGAGGGGCAGCCCCACTCTACCTCTGCATCAAACAATGAGGCACAGTAAACTCGCGTGAATCGCCTCGGGCTTGTATCGTCGGTGATTTTTCGAAATGGCAGGTAGCGGACACTGTTTTGGCGCTGACGAGGGATCCTCTACGCGCATGACCGGCAGCGGCACTTGAATGAGCGACTGCTCGTTGTTCTGTTGGAAAACTCGTTCCTTGCGGCACAGCTCGTATCTTTACGAGCTCGCACACCGTTGCTTCGCGCGGAGATTATTGCTCAAAGGAGGAATATCAGAACTGCTTCATCCAATCTTCAGTCCTTATCGTGCGACTCGTGAGACAAACCTCTCGTCTGCAATCTCTGCCTTGTCGATACCAAAGCAGGACAGGAAAGCCGGGACCATATCGTGAGGGCCACACGGGCGATAGTCGCCGCTGGCTTCGCGTTTGTCGGTGAAGCTCCCAAGAGCCGTGTGGATCGCTTCTACGATGGTGACGGAGTCGTCCACGAGAGTCGTCTTGACGACTTCTGCTTCTTCAGGTGTGAAATATGGCGCACTTATGTATGTGGAGTCGACGGTCGCGTCAGTGCGGCGTTTGCTGACCGCATCCTTCTGATGTTGGAAATCGTAGATGAGGACGAGGACCTTGTACCAGAGACCACCGTTTTGTCGAAGTTCAGACAAAGTGAGAGGAGATGTCGCGGCTGCTGTCGACTCGGTCTTTTGGTCATTCTTGACCTTGTTCTTGCCCTTTGATTTAGCCATGACGTCCTTTGCTCAAGTAGGTATARAATAGTGAGCTTTTGTCGTGGCGTCCCGACTTACATGTTGTAATGTCGTTGAATCGTGATGACCATGAAAACCGAGGAAGTCACCGGTCTTCGAGGGATCTAGAAGATTGACCAATAGGTTATTAATAAAGTGAATCGGGACTAAGCGACGGCCCGGCCTTCCGTCCGATGACAACTGCCGTTCCAACGGGGACTCGAACCTAAAGTGAACACGGTCATCAGTTTCGCATCTCTGCGAAAACACAGACATACCTTAAGGTAAGGACTCATTTTCAGTATTAATGTGCCACGTGCACAGCCTCTACAACAGCCAAGAAGACCTCACTCCATCATTCATAGCCAACCAACCGCTACTCTTTCCAAGTTGTGGTATCTTGTCTGTTGGGTCAGCCACCGGTCAAGGCCGACGCATGGCGCATGCCCCACGCCATCGCTAACAACAAAGGCAAGGATGCGTGCATCATCTCACAGTAAGATGCACCTTTCCTGCACACCTCACACACCTCACAGCCGATGCGTCAAGCTCGCAACTCGGACCACGGCTCCATCCCCGCTGATAAACGAGGCCTGACTTGTCGATAAATGAGAGCCTTGAGAATGCCCAGACACGACTTCATTCTGATATGCTACGCGAAGAGCACACAAGCGAGCCCAACTTACGATGACAGCGAGGCCACCAGCGTACCGAGCGACGAATTGTAGCGAGGACTCTAGGCCAAGCTTGCGAGCTCCAATGCGAAGGCGTAAGTGCAGGCTTCTATTAGTGGAAAGTCAGGCTTCAGTTATCACCGTACGGATCCTTCCAATTGCTGCAAGTAAGCCACACGATAGCTACATGTCTGCCGTGCACATGCCGTCCCTTTCCTTTTTCTCTTTCTTCCCTCCGTCTCAAAGAAGCGCTGTCATTTTAAGCGCCGGGTCTGTCCATTTCAACGGAGCTTTTCATTGCGGTTACACATACACATCGAGCCCGCTCGCTCAAGATGTCTGGCATATGGTCTGCTTGGCTGCTTGCCCTGTGTCTCGCTGCTCTGATGCGCGTCGCATCTGGTCAAGATGTCAACGGTCCGACGGGAGCCATCAACTCTACCACCCAGTCGACGGCGGAGGGAGAGATTACCGTACACACGATCGAAGTCAGCAATATGACGCACTACTTCACCCCGAACAGCATCAACGCCCTTCCCGGTGACATTGTCACCTTCAAGTTCTGGCCTGGTAATCATTCGGTCATTCKCGCAGAATATGGCTATCCTTGTATACCTTATGAAGACTTGGAGGAGAATGGTCAGGGTGGTTTCTACAGCGGTGTTATGACTCCCAACGCACAGGATGTCAGTGATGGCAATGTGAGTGACCCAACCGCGAGGACTACACTTGTTGAGACTAAGACAGGACAGCTTCCCACTTGGAATTTGACCATCAACTCCACTGCGCCAACATTCTTTTATTGCGGTGCGCCTGGAAGCTGTGTCAACTGGGCCATGTTAGGGGCAATCAATGCGGATGCAAACCACTCCATCGAGACGCAAATCAAACTCGCGCGGGTAGGCTTCATCGATGAGGAGATGAGGAGAAACACTAAGTTTCGTACAGGAAGCCGCATATGTATTGACGCCAGGCCAACCACTTCCAGCAGATGTCAAGACTTCAATGGAAAACCTAGCTCATACTGCGRCCGTTACCGTTACGGGATCAGGCACTACTCCGACTTCCAGCACGACATCTGCAATTTCAACTCCAGACAGTTCCTCGAACACAAGCGAAGACAAAAAGTCGTCTGACCTTGGAACTGGTGCTATCGTGGGCATTGTGATTGGAGGCGTTGCGCTTCTTGCTCTCGCAGGAGGTCTTTTCTGGTGGGTTCAAGTAAAACCTCTTCTTATACGAAACGACAAATGCTGACAATCTCGCAGTGAGTTACCTACGTCTCGATCCGTCTAATACCGCTTCATGGACCATATCAACTCCCACTAACCATCTCCCAGATTTCTTCGGTCGCTCCAAGACTCTTTCAGAACAACTGCGCCTTTCCAGAACGCCGAATAATACAGGAGCTCCGCCGCCGCCAAACCCAGACATCGACCAAGGCTATGGAGGGCCCAACAGCAGACACACAAGTTACCTGCCTCCATACGCTCAAGTGGCTCAACATCACCCAAATGAAGCCAAACCTCCAAGTTTGCAGGAAGCAGACGGTGGCGCGTTCCCTGGTTATGGCCACATGCCACACCCGGCCGTCAGTCCTGAGATGAGGCAAGCGGATACTTTTAGGGGCTTCTCCTATCCTGATAGTCGGCCATCTTTGCAAAATATGCACACGAGGTGAGCCAGATCTGCCCAGTTCCTTTGGTCATGCTAACGAGAACGTAAAAGGTACTCGGATGTTTCGCGGCAAGCTTCGCCGCCGGTCCATGAGATGTCATGAGTTGCCATTGGATAAAAATGGATCGTTTGAGAGCTATCATCATGTTCATATTTCATCGAGTAAGCGAAGTTTCAATGTCAATCTGACCCTGTCCTTCAAGGCTACAGGTCATTCGATAAGGGATAAGTATACGATTCCGTATACTGCTTTTCATTTCTCCGCGAGAACTTTCCTCGGCATTTCTTCACCTGCGCAGCAGATAATCTTTCATGTCTAGTTTGCTGTCAACAACATGCTGTCGACTAATGACGTCTCCTCGCCAGTAAGACGTCGACAACCGAAGCGACAGCACGTCGTACTGAGCGGAGAAACGGTTTCTACCCACCTCTCGGATCGCCTTCATAATTCAACCTCGCGGTATTGTCATCAATGACCTGCTGTGCGAAACTCAAAGTGTCCTGTCTCTTCGGCGGCGGCATCTCCGCTTCATCATCCTGCAATTGTGGCGGATCGGCTTCTGGTTGTCCGGCGAAGAGATCCCTAATCGCGCCTTTACCAGTGGCGCGCTGATATATGGCAAATGTGGTGCCGAATTCGCGATGGGCGCCGACTTGGATGGCTTTAAGTAGCTCGACGGCGAAGTTTTGGCAGTTGTTGCTGATGAGATTGTATGCGGGGCGCTTTTCACGCCTGGATGGGAGGTGTTAGTAGTGCGAGGATGCGTCTCATGGTGAGTTGCTTGCTCACATGTTGTGGATGGTCATGCGGCTGGCTTCGTAAAGAGCTTGGTCATTGAAGCGTGTTTTGCCGACTTCGAAGAGATGCCAGTCGTCGCGGTTGAGTTTCTCGTTGATGTATATGATGTCGAGATTGTTATCCTAAGGTACATGAATGATCAGCTCGTGCTTGGCGTTGGGGATCAGTTGTTGTGCAGATACTACCTGCTGATCGTACCATCCATAGCTGATGCACATAGTCACCAACAATCACAGCCCAATGCTGTGTCGGGTCTGGGTAGTGGCCAATCTTCTGGCTGATCTGTTTACCAATCACCGTCTTCTCGGCGAACCATTTCCCGGTTGCGCCTGCTACGGGATGCTACAGGTGGCGTGTCAGCGGCTATGCTCTACTTTACTTCGATCTCCAGAAGAACAGCACTCACCCAACCCAACTCCACGGTCCTGGGCTCGCCGGTAACGAGCGCTTCGCCCTCGGGGACAACATTCGGCCTCTCTCCCAGACCGGCGGCTTTCTGCAGTTCCTTCTTCGCATCACTGGCTTCCTTGGCTGTCCATGACTGAGCTTGCTTCAGGTAGGTTTTCGTATAAGTTGTGAGTTTGTCGGTCATAGAGGTCTTGCCATCTTTCTCCCCTTCGACATTCTCATCTCCGAGCGACCTTGCCTTGGGACTTTTGGGCTTGTCTTTGTCCTTGTCTTTGCTGCGCTTGAACATGTTCATGGCGAGAAGTGCCGGGTATTCAGATAGCCAGCAGCTGGATCAATCAATACGGCCGTGTATAGACCTTCGTGGCAAACAGGATCTCTACGCTTTGGTGCATGTGGCGGATACACGGATGTGAAGCCTGAACGTGGCTGCGGTTAGATTTGGGTACAGAAAGGAAGAAACGGAGGAATCGTGAGCTAGGAAGTTACTTGTCTCTATCCCTGCGGCGTTACTAACATTCCATCAACGGTATAGTAAGCGCTGTCAACATTGAGCCTGGCCATGGTGATATTGAGGTCCAGGCCTGAGAGAGCAGACGGGACGCTAGACGGCACCTGGCAAGTCGACCGCCGATCGGGCCGAGTGAACACGAGGGACACCTGGCTCTCGCGTGCAACTTTATAGATGAAGCTTGCCTCTTGCTCCTGCTCTTGACATTGACATTGCATCCCGCCAAACACCGCCAACATGGTCTCTTTCAGGTTTGCGGCATTCGCCGTAGCTGCTCTTAGCGCCGTCAATGTCATCGCCGCCGAAGATGCCGAAACCGTAAAGGTATGCGCGATTCCGTGACAGCTTAATGGGACACAACATCTAATCGAAGCTGCAGGTTGAGGAAGCCGTCCCTAAAGCAAACCCCAACATTGGCGACGTGAAATGGGAGGACATGGCAAAGTACGCGGAGACGGGCGAACAGCAGTGGGAAGACAAGAGGAATGAGCTGCCGCTCAGCGTGGACGTCAAGGTCACATTTCCCGAGGCCGAGATATTTGGGGTGAAAATGGTCAATGGCCGTCCAACCCGCGCTCTGCTCCACGTCACCAACAACGAGGAGGTTCCCGTCAATGCTCTCATCGCCATTGGTGCTCTCTTGTCACCTTCGGGCACTCCTGGCGCTCCGGACCCGCCGGTGGTGATCAGGAACTTGACAGGAGCCAAGTTCGACACTCTGGTCCAGCCAAAGACCACCGAGCTTCTCACTTATGCTTTCGCGACCGAGATGCACCCTCAGGATGTGACTCTGGAATTGACGACCATGATCTCTCGCGGTCCGAGAATCTTCACCGTGACTGCATTCAAGGAGACCGTGTCCATTGTTGAGGCTCCCATTAACATCTGGGACCCTCAGATGTACGTTGCATCTTATAGCTCTTGCTTTTCTACATTCACTGACAGTTTTCCCAGCATCTTCCTCTACACCTTCCTCCTCGCTGCGTTCGGTGGTACTTGCTACTTCATCTACAACACATGGATCGCAACTCTATTCCCCCAGAAGAAGCGTGGCGGCAAGGGTGGTGAGCGTGCGAAGCGTTCATCTGGAGGCTCCAAGCCAGTCGATCCATCCGAAGCTGTACCGGTGCTTGACGCCGATGGCCCAGCGGTCACAACCGGATCAAAGGGTTACGATGAGAGCTGGATCCCAGCCACGCATTTGCAGAGACCGCAGGCGAAGCGTGTTGGGTCCGGAAGGCCAAAGAGCAGAGCTGCATAGATGGAGGAAACTCTGGACATCAACAACATGCGATTGTGACAGCGATGAGTGGCGATCAGAATACGACTCTATCAGAGGTGGAATGTCTAGACCTGCCTTGGACATGGCCTGCGGCACGGAAAAGTCGTGGACAACATTCAAACCTGGAAGGTCCGACTCGTGTACAACTTGTAAGATGTGTATTGCCAGATAAAGTCCACGAACATAGCCACGAATTGCTTCATGAAAGCTCAGTCAAGTCACGACGCCGTGAGAGAGCGGTAGAAAGATGCGGGTGGGCCTACATGTGACCCCAACATCGTTCACTTCAATCATCACCCAGTTCTGTAACAGCTTCCTTCTTTCAATGGTTGCATGTCATGGCGTTCTTATGGATGCGACTCTGCTAACGGGACGGGTGATGCTGGGCAAGTGATTCACAGTTGTCAGGTCGCTCCTTCCTTTCGAACATCAGTAAGTGAATGAGATACCTTAAACCGAACCTAGCAGTACACAAGCCAACCAAACACCTCAAGCCTGATTATCAACCTCATCTGCCACCAACGCTTCATAATCACTCYTAACATAAGGCGGCCTAAACACCGAATCAGCAGACCGATCTGCCATCTCCAAAAAGACACAACCACGCTCACCTCACATAGTTCTTCGCCGCGACAATCGCCGCACTGCCCACGGCATAAGCACCCAAGAGTTTCGGCCAGCCCGCATCACTAGAGTACGAAGCTTGCCCGACCGCAATGCCGACCAAGTCATACACCAAGCAACCTCCAAAGATCCAATCGCTACAAGCACYCAATCCCGCGAAACCCAACCCCGTCAAGACCTTGACCGCCGTGCTGGGAGTCTCGTTTAGAAACCACCCCACGGAAGTATTGTGGAGAATGTCCAAGACGCCGATCCCCGCGAATGTCTTGCTGACGACGTGTGTCAGGATGCTGGGCCAGGACTTTGTGTTCATGGGAGCTAGCTGCGTGAAGACGTAGTAGAGCTGAGCAAGGGTGTTGATAAACACGAAGATGTTGGCTGTTTTGAGCTGTTCGGAATTCCAGAAGAACATCCACGTTCCTATGCCTATAGTCCTCCTGGTCAGCGCACGTCTCGAAAAAAATTTCACGGGTTAAGAAATCTTGCTCTTCGACTTGACTTACAGACGTTTCCGAGAGCATAGTAAGGTACGAATCGGACAATCTCATCCAGCTCTTTCTTCTCCTTTGGGTTTTTGGCATCGAGTTTCCAGAGCTTGTACAGCCATGCCAGTTGAAAGAACTGTTGAGGAAAGAAGAAGCCTAGATTTGGAATGTTAGCAAAGTCCTTTCGTGATTTGGAGAGAATCGGAGACATACCAGCGATGAAATAAGGCTGTGGACTGAAGAATGAAAGATTCCGATCGTGGATCTCTTTCATGCTAGGAGTACTGTTGATTCCATATTGCTGCGCCGCGAAATCGTACTATCATACTGTCAGCACATGATGATGCAGCGATACGGACACTGTTACTGACAATGAATGACGCTGGTGCTAGATAGCGGGCGGTACTGAGTGAGATGCCCATCGTGATGATGTTGATACTCGAAAGCGGTCCTGTTTTGTGATGGTAATTAGGATGAGTACTCCAAATTATGGGGGCTTACCGTGCTTCTATACAATCTCATCCGTGGGTGTCAAGATCGGGACAATACCATCATCCTTGWCGAATGCAAAAGTCATGATGACGGCAAAAAGCCAAAGCCAGGGTGCCGGTAGAAAGTACTTCCTTGCTCCGGATCACCCGCCGCCGATGACCACGCCTCATCGACGTGTCAAATTTTGGCTCGAGATATTGCGATAGTGTCAAAGTCGAAGTATTCTGTTCTCTTTGAATTAAATAGCCGTGTCTCATACATAAAGATACATCGCCTTCTAGGCTTCTATTCCTCGACCGTCTTCGTTGGAATTCGCTCAACTGGAACATCATCGCTGTCATTTCGCAGCTTGCTACCATCCCACTTTGCAGAAGTGATGGGGTTGACCTACAAAGCGAGGGGTTAGCGATGTCTGGGGATTTTTCGAGATGTACAGGGGCATAGCGTAGCTTGTACTACTCTGTCTGCCCTCTGCTCTTCAGTGCTTACCTTGAGTTCATACATGGTGTTAATCTCCTCCAAACTGCGATCTTTCGACTCAATAACGAAGAAGAACACGATTGCCACCAGAGCCACACAGCATCCGGCAAAGACCAGGCCGTAAAGGTATCCGATCTCACCGGTGATGAAACGAGTGAAGAAGGACATCAAAAAGTTGAAGAGCCAGTTGCTGGATGTAGCCAAGGCCATGCACGGGGCACGGTAGCGAGTTGGGTAACTAAAGAGAAGTTAGCAGAGGTTCCAGGTGTCTTTGAAAATGGAGCAACTTGCAGTTCACCCACGACGGCCCCTAAAATGCGGTGTTAGCAATGTCTCGGACACATGGTGGTGGATGGAAGAATTTCTTCCGTTCGGGGGTACTTACAGACGAGAGGGCCCCAGGTTGTAGCGAAAGCGACGATGAAGAAGCATGAGAAGACGATGAGGACGTTACCTGCAGTCTTGGTCTCGGACTGGCTGGTGGCTTCGTCAAGAACGAAGCGGCCGACGAACGAGTAGACCAAGAAGCACATGGCCATCCAGGCGGCACCAATCATCAGGGCAGGGCGACGGCCACACTTTTGAACAACGTACAGTCCTCCGAAAGTGCAGACAACGTTGACTGTTCCGAGGATGATCTGAGAGACGTAGGAGTTCGARAGACCAATTCCAGCGAAGATGGTTGTTCCATAATAGAAGAAGAAGTTGGCACCTGAAGGTACGTCAGTGAGTGTCAAATCGAATCACTATGCATATGGTCTCACCCGTCAGCTGCTGGCCTGCCTGGAGAACGATTCCAAGCATGGTTCGGTAGAACATGCGAGGGCCAGTGWAGATCTCG